CTAATGACACAATAAGCAAGAGAAAATGCTTGATTAAAAATCAACCATAAACTTCTGTATTAGTGTCAAAACCTAAACGTGTCTTCCTTCTAAATGAAATGCATTTAAATGATCCTAGTCAAAACAACATTTTGTATTAATTTCTGGGCATATCATAACGGGAATTGTGGTAAGCTGAATAATGGTCCTCAAAGGCATCCACACCCTAATCTCTAGAACTAGTGAATGTTATCTTATATGGTAAAAGGGGCTTTGCAGATGTGATTAAGTCAAGGATTCTGAAACAGAGAGATTATCCTGGATTACTTGCGTGAGTCCTAAAGTAATTACAGGTGTACTTACAGTCAGGAAGCAGAGAGGAATCTGACTGCAGAAGACAAAGCAATGTGACCAGAGAAGCAGAGATCAGTAATGTGACTGCAAGCCAAGGAATGTTGGCGGCTACCAGAAGATGGTACAGGTATGGAATGGATTTCCCCCTGAAAGCTCCAGAAGGAACCATCCCTGCTGACACCTTGACTTTAGCCCTGAATAACTGACTTATTTTGGACTCTGGACTCCAGAACTATATGAAAATTATTTTCTGTTGTTTTAAGCCACAAGGCTTGTGGTATTTGGTACAGCAGCAATGGAAATGAATACAGGAATAGATAAAACTTTGTGGAATTTCAAGCCTAATAAATGTCTGTGTACATTAGTAATGATTCCACAATATAGGTAAACTACAGAACAGTAAGGATTAACACAGCTAAAGTGGTTCAAATTGCTATGATTCCACTTAACCGCCAAACACAACTGCCATCTTTTTGATTCATGACTTTCACCTTCTATTAGAATGTTGGAAGCCCTTTGCAATTACTGTTACATAATTTCATTAATAGCATTCATTATTTTCACCTGAAGTACTTCTGAAATATGTGGCTGCTATGAGTGACATTTTTATGTTAGATGTTTCTGGGCAAACAACAAAACGATGTGCATGAAAAGTTGTAAACATTCTTTAAATGCCTTTTATAACACAACCATCAGAATTTTCTCACTAAACTGACCTGCTAGGAATCACTCTAAACTAAGATGGCACAGTGCACTGAGGAGCTTTGTAGAAGAGTGAAATGTATGATACTTTAGGTTCTACTCACATCACCACATCAAGGCAGTGATATTCTAGAATGTTCTGTAAATAACCAGGTGGCATCCCTGTTAGTCTCCACAGGACTGAAGTAACAACCTAAGGCTGACTGTTATTGCTTTTAGAGTTTATTGCTTTGCAAGCCATCTTTTAAAGTTAACCTTGAAGAATGAGAAATGAATAAAAACTTTGCTTCCCAGGTCTTGCCTAAAAAGAGAAAAGCTGATAATTTCTCAAATCAGTACATACAAGGATTATACAGTCATGTAGTTATAAATAACTGAAAGAGTCTTTAAAATCCTATTGAAATTATGCAAACAAGAAAGAAAAAGCAACAATCACTGTATAAGTGTACAGGTATTTCAGTTACTGGCCCAACTTTAGATCCTTTTAAGAGCTTTTAAAGATTGCTACATGTTTTAAGATTACTATATGAATGAATAAATAACTATATTTTCTCTCCAAGTCATATCAAAGCATATCATAATCTAGAGCTTAGGACACTCCCTAAACTTGCTATTTCCTCTTCTATTTTCATTTGAAATAGATATTTTCTAGGCATATGTTGTCATTTTAATTTTTCTATGTCGATACTACTTTCTAGACATTTCCTGCTAAGGCACTCTACCATTCCAATATTTTCCTAATAATATGTCCTCACTGAAAGGTTCTTTTTTTGAGGGAGAGGGTGTAGCTCAGTGGTAGATTGTATGCTTAGCATGTACAAGGTCCTGGGTTCAATCCCCAGTACCTCCATTAAAAAAATAGTAAAAAATTTAAAAAAGAAAGGATTATTTTTTCATTACAATCTATTATGTTAGTGGACAGATACTGTGGCAAAATCATTCAGAGGGATAACTGTCCTCCATTTTCCATGCATATATACCACTTCTCGAATAACTTCTACTCACATTAACTGGATAACTTTCAAAAGGAATAAAGCATTTGGTAAAGTGTTATTTATTTAACATCCACTATGTATATGGTACTATGGGGTACTACAAAAAAATAAAATAAAAACACAGTTTTGTCCATAAGAAGCTTATATACCCTCATAAGGGCAGGTATCATATTTACATAAAAAGCTATAATGACATGCCAAATGTAAAGAATCAATAAAGAGAAGACTCAATAAAGTGTTATAGGAATTCAGAGGAGAAAAAGGTTCCCTAAGATTAGAGAAATCTATGAATTTAGTATTGAAAAATGAGGATCCTAACCGGCCTTCATGGAGGAGAAGGGAATGATGTAAAAAAGGTAAGAGAAAAATCGCAGGCCATGTATGTGAATCAGTAAATAGCTGAGTATGGCTGGAGCACAAGAGAAGGGGGAGCTGGCGGAGCTTGAGAAGGTGAGACCCCAAGAGGCCTGAATACCAGGCCAAAGCTTCCACTTTGTTCACTAAGTAATAAAGACTACTTACAGTGACTACCAGAAGTCAGTAAGAGTAAACAGAGCTTTGTTTCTTCTGCCCTTTTTTGGAGAACTGGAGAGGTGAGAAAGGAAATTCCAGATTGACTTCAGATATCAGAAATCAGCACATTTTATCAGGAATAAGAGAAAGGTAGCAGGTTAAATGGATGTAGAGTGAGCCTTAGTACATGTATCAAAGCTAACAAGACACGAGGGGAGCTGTACAAAGTCATTTTCAAATATCCCAAACTCTGCGTGGGGAGTTAAGTGAGACTTTCCTCAATGTCCAGTTCTTTGAGAGCTATACAGTTCATGGCCTCTATTGATAACCAAAGCCTATGGCCACCATGAAATCCTTTTTTAATCTCTGAAGACTGCTAAGTGTTTCTGATATAGTTCAGGAATTAAACTTTGTTTCCAAGAGCTAGGCATCTCAGCAGGATGAATGGGATCTTGGAATTTAAGCCTGCCCATTCCTAATCTCTGTGTTCAGAATATCCCCAAAACTAGGCTTCCAACTGCTGGTTTTATGAGGCCCCCTAGTGTTCATAATGCAGACACTTTAGAAATTCAAAACTGACACTTCAGAAACACCTTTAAATTAACTATGGAATCTATCAGTAGCCCATTAAAAAATATCTTTTTAGGGAAACAAATGATACAGATGAAACGTAAAAGATACTGTTTTAATAATTCATCTCGATATTTTGAGCCAACTTTCAGAAGACAAGTAAAGGCCTAGAAAAATCAAAGTACTATTTAATAATAAAATTATCTTTCAATGAACAACTATATGGAAACAAATTGGACAACCCAGAAGAAATGGAGAAGTTTCTGGAAACATACAGTCCACCAAGAATGAATCAAGAAAAATAGACCACTTAAACAGACCGATCACTAGAAATGAAATAGAATCAGCAGTAAAAAAACACCTCCCTACAAACAAAAGTCCAGGACCAGATGGCTTCACTGGGGAATTCCACCAAACATACAAAGAACTCATACCAATCTTTCTCAAACTCTTCCAAAAGACTGAAAAAGAGGGAGTACTCCCAAACTCATCCTATGAAGCCACCATCACCCTGGTACCAAAACCAAAGACACTACCAAAAAAAACATTAATTTCAAAACTATGGTATGTAATGGTATCATTATATTTCACTTTTTTATTTCTTGATCTAGTTAAACTACTAATGTATCATCTGTAACACTCAAAGTACTTGAAGCTTTAGAGGACAGATTGATTAAGCTTTTTATAAGGAGAGTTTATCACTTGCAATTTTTAAAATACAATTTAACAAGTGAGCACACACTATTTTCCTTAAAAGCTCATTTATCTTATGGAATATCATAATATTTAGTCTGAATCATTATAACAAGTGTCACATTTATTATGACAACATTCTTCAATGGCTTCAAATGAGGAGACATCATGGTATTTAGCAAGCAGCTGAGAAATGTGTTACAAATGACTTCATTGTAATTTAAGTACCCAAGTCTATACTAAGTTAAGCTTCTCTTGATAGCTCCAAAAGTAGTAGAAAAATGACTGCCTTTATTAGATGAAAGCCCTTTCTTCAAAAACATTTATCTGAGACTCTTCTTCAAATCAAATGTACTTTAGATTTATTCCAAAGTATACCATAAATCTGTCTGGAATCTATAAAAATATATGAGGGTATGCGAATAAATGTTTGCTTCTGGCTTGGCTTATAAACCTTATTTGTATTGCTGTGGGTTTCTATTTTCATTTTTTAAAAATCTGGCATCTAAAAAAAAAATGAAACTACAACCACCTTTCAGCACTAAACCTATGTTCACAAATGACATTCATTTACACTGACAATAGTCCCAGAGTATAAATTTACATTAAAGCAATTCATTAGAGTCTATAAATATTCTCTTACTATCAACAGGAATCACATATATAAGATGGCTGCAAATTCACACAGCATTCAGGTTAATTTTCACGGTGAATTTTTGGTGGTTGTTATTAATTGCCACATTGGTCTGATGGGGGGAAAAATCACTAAATTTCAAGCACCACCATAACCTTATGTTCTGAGACAGTAACACAACACGTGTACCAAAATCCTCTGGGCTGACTCCTCACTGCCTGCACATTGAGACGAAAAGGCAGAATTCATAGATGACAGGCCTGTGTTCAACCTTCCTACCAGTACTGGGTAACACATGTAATCTCTACGACCCTGCTTTCTCATCTGAAATTAGAGATGATAATCCTTATCTTCTAGAATTTTAAACTCTCTAAGAAGAGAAGACAATATGTGAGAATGACAACTCATAGTAGGATACAACAAACAGTAGTTATTCTAACCAGCTACAACCACAGTTCTAACACAGATGAAGGCCAACATGGATTCATCACATTGCTGCAACAACACTTACTTAAAGAGACTCTGAACAACACATTATATTTAATTTCAAGTCAACTTACCAAGACAGGAGTACAAACCCTGACTTATCCAAGCTAATATGGCAAGAGTTATAAGGTCGCCAAAACTAGCAGCAATGGGTGTGGCAACATTATCAGGATTTATACCAGTCTTCTTTGAACCAACGATAACCCCAACCATTATTATTCCTAGAAAAAAGAAAGCTCATTACTTTTTGTGCCATGATTTAAAGAAAATCAATCCTCCTAAATACTGAAATTTACAGGCTAGACAAACAGCATACCAGGTCCAGTTAGACTGCTTAGATAAGCTGACTAAAGCAAACAAAACATTTTACTCTAATGCCTTGGCAAAATGTCTTTCAACAAATTCCAAGTGGGGATCACAAAAGATTTGGAAAGTTCAATGTTGCATTTAGAGATTTGAAAAGCTACTGTTACAATTTTAAAGCTAAAGTTTCAAATTTAGTAACATGCATGCCTTAGATGTAATGTATCCATGTATATCAAAGTCAAAGATTTTATTTTAACCCTTAAAGTATGAAATGTCAAGAAAGGTGAGTCATTTTTATACACATCGCACTTGGGAAGAACACCAACAAAACCAGATTTGTTTACATAGTGGTAGCCAGAAATGCTTCCTTCATTTTATTATTAAAAAGTGTTTAAGTATTAAGAAGAGAGAAGTAATTAAATTTTGAACACTGGAGACCAGAATACAAGAAGAAGTCTTTGTAAAAGATACTCTTTAAACTCAAAAGTTTCTGAGTATGAACCTCCAACAACAGAAGATGAAAATCTGACTGTGTTCTTATACTTTTAAATCTTTATATTCTTGAATCAAAGGAACAGGAGAAAAATAGCATTTCTATCCATACTCAATTGTACAGATTTTCTCATGCCAATACATTAAGAGGATGTAGTGCAGAGAAAATTTAAGATTAGTTCATTTATGTGCTAACCATAAATCAATATGCAAGCCTATATATGGCTATAGAAAAGAACCAGATTTTCACTGCATTTTTAGACTGAAAAACGACTCAAAGGATTTTATTCTAAAGTATTCATTTTATAGATAATAAAACTGAGGTACTAAGAGTAGGTTTAAATTCTTGCCAAAGGTCATATAGCTTGTAACTAACTTTTTTTTCTACTACACCATAAAGCCAAAATTATTAAAAGCAAAATTTTTGTCTTGGTTCACTGTCTCACGTCTTATATTCTGGAGGCTTTTTCAATTTAAGGACTTACATTCCCCATAATATTATTGTAAATTTAAAAAAAAAAAGGCAATAGAAGTTTTTTTAATGTATTATATAATAATCAATCAAGATGTGATCACATAGAATTCTTTTTTCAAAATCAGCACCTTTTAAGATTGATGTGGAAAGTTCTCCTATGACAGAATGCCATTTATATCTTTTCAGCTGAAAACAACTATTTTGTCCTCATGGACAAGTGGAAAGAGCTGGGAGCAAGAACCAGATTTTAATTCTGATTTTTTGTGAACAAGCTGATGAAACTGGACGAGTCCCCTTACCTGAGTACGTTTCCTCACCTACAAAAGGTGGTTAATAGTATCTGCTCTACATAAAGGTCAACTTATCATAAAGTTAGAATATATATTATTCAAAGTAAGAAGGCTTAAGCAAATGTATTTTTAAAATCTGAATTTTTATGGTTTTAAACCCCAAGCAATACAAATATGTTAGACTGAAAATTTTTAAATAATTATTTCTAAATGAAACAAGATTAGAAAGAACACAGAAGCAAATAAGCCTAAAGAAACAGAGTGCTAATGCTTTAACATTTGTTTTACCAGCAATTAATTTTCCAATAGCATAACTTCACTCTGCTTTTGCCAGTGTTAACACCATTCAATTCTAGTAATTCTAACTTAGAAATAAGAAACCACCCCTGGTATAATTACGTATTAAAATAAAATGCTTGAAAATATTTTGGAAGTCAAGTCTTAATTTTAATAAGATTCTCTAAATTACCAGAACCCAGACAAAAAAGTTAGCTTCGTTGTATGATCACCTGACATGAGAATTTTCCATTTTAAACTTTCCTAGTTATACAAAGTGAGAAAATGGCAATTATAAAATAAAAAGAAATCAGTTTTTATGATTATGATTCCATAAAAGTTCTCTTGTGCAAAGTTAATATTAATAAATCAATATTAAGAATGACATCCCAACAAAAAAATTATAATGTAGTTAAACTTTAAAACCTTCTGGCTCTTTAAAGCTCTATAGCCAACAATATGCTGTGTTAAGCATATGGTTATACTTATATTGCCACAGAAATAGTAAAAAAAAAAATTCGAAATCTGAAACTTTAAGAAATTTTAACAGAGGTACTGCTTTTGAAACTCAAAATTCCTAGAGTACTAGTTACTTGAATGACAATTCAGTAAATCCTCTGCATTATTTCCAGAAAGGTGTTTCTCAGTTAATTTAACTTACAGGAGTAAATGAATATCCAGCCTATTTTCCTGATCTTGTCTGGGAACTGTACCAGGGGACTGAAGACCGGGAGACAACCGCAGAAAGCTTGCTCTATGCTAGGTTTACATATAATACATACAGATATATCTGAAGTGAGGCATTTTAAAAGATAGATAACTTTTCTGCTTTTTTAATGAGCAAGTGTCATTTAAATAAAAACAGTTAACATGAAAAGTAATTAGAAAGTAAAAGATTGTAGGGTAGGCATTTACCGATTTACTTACCCTGCAGAAGAGATGCAATGAAAGCAGTTGCCACACTGCTAGAGCACAAAAGTATGGAATGATCAAGATAGTATTTTCCCTCTGGAATCCACCCCAAAATAATTGCTGCCACAGCTGCTAGAAAGCCAACTACTGTTGCTTGAACCTTAAAAAAAAGTTTTAAATAGAGTCCAACTGAGTTATTCATTTTCAAAACACATTTTTATTTGATTCTGTAAACAGGCATACAAGTTGAGTCAGAAGAAAGTATATTATTCGGTAATTGAGCTGTCTTACCTTTTGAAGAAGCTACTGCATTTTAGCTTTAAAATTCCCTGAGGTGGTGGGTTCTTAAAGTGCCCTAATCTGGCAGCAGTAGGAATGGAAGGGCATCTAGGAATCTATTTTTAACAAGAACCCCAAGTGACTTTGATGGTGTAATCCACAGATCTAAGAAAACACTAACCTTAAGACTGAAAAGTACTCAATCCACACAACGGAAGCCTAACTCTAGAGGCAATACTGGCAAGAGATGGATTCTATGATCGAATGACGAGAGTTTGATTTCTGGCTATACCACTCAATCTTGCGCCAAGTTATTTAAATTCACCCACCCAACAAGCATTAATTCAGACTCTACTATGTACAAGGTGTCTGCTTGGTGCTAGGCTACAACAGCAGTCAAAACAGATTTATTTCCTGCCCTCACAGAACTCTTGTCCAATGGGAGAGATGGACATTAAAAAATAACCTCACAAATAGTCACGATCCTGATTAGTGCTATAAAACTTCCGCTCCTAATCTGAGAAATGGTACCAATAATATCGAACATGAAAGGGTTATTCTGAGATTTAAATGAATTAAATACATAAAGTGCTTTCCACAGTGGTGGCACAAAGCAATCCCCACACCCCGCAAAAAAAGACAATTTTAAAAAGTCACTATGAACTCTTAAAATCATATTCATTAAGTGTTAGAACTAAAAGAAACCCTAAAGGAATCATCTAGTTCACTGATTCTTAACTGTTTGTACCACGGACTCCTTTGACAATCTGGAGAAAATTTTATTGAGCCTTCCCTCCACAAAAACACAAATGCATCTAATATTTGAGTAGAATTTCTGGTTGATCACAGATTTTATGAAGCCATACCATGTACTGGAATCCAGGGACCCAGGTAGTCTGATCTTGGCACAGAGTAAATCAGTGGAAGAGCCCAGGCTAGCGAGACCAGATAGCCTAGATTCTGGTCCCAGATCTTTCATTACGGCAGATTTAGAGCTGAGATTCAAGCTGTAAGGATCACTGAATATACTGGGTGCTAAGATATTTCAGCATTCTCATACTGGTTATTCAATAATATGATATGTAAAAGCAATAAAATTAATTAATAATGTAAATTCTAGCACTGTAATTCCAAGGTTTTTCTTAGAAATAAAACACAGAGCTTTTACTTCTTGGAAATAAAATACAGAGCTAAGGAGCCTACAGAAGACATCACAGCATGCGCACACACGCACGCGCACACACACACACACACACAGAGTTTAGATTAAGAAGTCCTGTTCTGTGAACCTGCAAAGGAAATGTCCAATTGCACCAAAGAGAAGAGCAAAGTCTGGGTTAAGGAGAAGGTGGGGAGGTTCACAGGAGACACAGGCCTAAACAGATGTGAGTACCGGGCATATCCTCTTCATGGGGTACTGGTTCTTCATTGGGATTGGGAACTTAGCTTTATTCGACAATTTATGGACAGGTCGAGGTGGCCACTGGGTATAACTGTGAAGAAATCTATGACAGGTCATCTGCTTCGGATCCCATTTAATAGTCAGGAAAGCTGATGACAGCACAAGCCTCCTCTGTCCTTTCCATCCTTCCCTACGTCCACCCTCCACAGCTCGTCACTAGAAAAGGAGCGCTGTGAGCCCATCCCACTCCTCCCTCCATGTGATCTACTCCTTCACAAGTTTTAGCTCAAGTTTTTAGATAAAGCTTCAGAGAGAGCACAACCGCCACCCCCCACCTGACCTTGCTCTCTTACTCCCCTCTGCTTTTGTCCACAGGTAAGTGGGCTCCAATCAGCTGCTGCCTTGCTGGGTGGCACCATCTGTGTCTTGATGGGCCTGTGTGGGCTTCCCTGTTTCTCATGCATCCTTGGTGGAGTGGGACAAAAATACAGACTTCAGGCTATGGTAACTAGATTCAGTGACTCCCCGGCCATCTCTGGCTCCCATCCTAACCAACAGTTGCAGGGAGACAGGAAGGCAAGGGAAGGGTGGAGAATAGGAGTGAAAGGAAAAATTAAAAGCCTAGATGGAAATTATTAGAATAATTTGATAAATAATCTACAGTACAACTCACATCACTCAGTAAGAGGGTGTTTAAAGAAGAAAATGGAATATATTTTCAATTTTAATTTATACATTAATTTATAGTAGTGTACTTGTTAGATATTTTGGTTATTACCCCTGCATAGACTTCTACAGTTTCAGGAAAACGATTACGGACATCCCTAGTGCAATACTGCGACTTAAAAGAAGAAGAAAATGAAGTGCAGAAAGGTCGAGTAAGTTAACAAAGGTTATACAGCTGGTTAATGTTAGAGCTGAGATTAGATACCAGACTTTCTTATTTCTAACCCTGTGATTTTAGAAGCAGATGCATAGATTTTTTTAAAGCCTACATTCCAAAAATTCCTTTATTTCTTTGTCTTTGAAACGTATTACATGAAATTACTTTTCTGCAACTCAACATTATTTTCCAGTTAACCTAACATTAAAATCAGTGAGCATCTCCTAAGCTCACACTTGCTAGAGAATTGTTAGGGGGCTGTAGTCTTGTGTCTTGGGGATAGGAGAGGGTGGTGGGAGAGAAAGAGATATTCCCCTGAGATTGGAAGGAACTAGATACACTATTTACAACACCCAAGACACGGAAGCAACCTAAATGCCCATCAAAATATGACCGGATAAAAAAGTTGTGGTATATCATACAATAGAAAACTTATCAGCCTTAAAAAAGAATAAAATAATGCCATTTGACGCAACATGGATGGACCTGGAAATTATCATTCTAAGTAAAGTAAGTCAGATAGAGAAAGAAAAATACCACATGATGTCACTTATATGTGGAATCTTAAAAAAAAAAAAAAGGACACAAATAACCTTATTTACAAAACAGAGACATTCACAGACATAGAAAACAAACTTATGGTTACCAGGGGGGACAGGGAGTGGGGAGGGATAAATTGGGAGTTTGAGATTTGTATATACTACTATATACAAAATAGATAAACAACAAGGTCCGAATGTATAGCACAAGGAACTATATTCCATAACTTGTAATGCCCTATAATGAAAAAGAATATGAAAAGAAATATATATATGTATAAATGAATCACTTATGCTGTGCACCAGAAATTAAACGTTATAAGCTGACTATACTTCAATGAAAAAGGTATCCTAGACTTAAAAAAATTTTTAAAAAGGACTAGGTCATCTATATATAATTCATGTATACATAATTAACAATTTAATGTGATCATTTATAGTAACACTGAGAGCATTAACAAATTAAAGAAAACTCAGCTTAAACAAACATCTGACAATGACATATCAAAAAGAGCTAAGTTTAATTAGAAGGTTTACTTTAAAAAAATCAGAGTTAAAAAAATAACACCTAAGCACTGAAGTGCTAAACACTTACTTATGGAGATATTAACTCAAATTCTGGCTCTATTACACACAAAGTAGAAAATATTTCATGTATTTATTCTGTATTTTGTATATTATATATTTTTCATATTTTGAAGAATCTGATCAGTTTCTATAGAAATAAAACTTTCAGAAGCCATGGGTATCAATTTACTTTATCATTTTTTTCAAAGCACTAAATTATTGTTATAGGTCCCCTGAAATAATTAAATGGTAGACTTTAAGAGCACTAAAATTTATTCCATTCTTAGAGACAAAACCCAAGAACTATAAACAAATATGTGTATCACTTACCTGTTTTAAAGCCAAGTTGCCAATTATTAGGTTCCACTTTTCAATGGGTGAATCCATCTTCCCAATATTTACCTGTTAAGGTGGATATTTTCATATATCACTGAATAATCTATATGCCCTCTACTCTGTTTAAATAGCATATGAAGTTTTAAAGTCAAAAATAATCCTTTAGTATATCCTATGTGCTCACACTGCAAACTAATAAAATTCTGAATTCACTACAAGTCTTGCATCTCACATTCAGCTTGCTTGAGATGCTGAGAAAAAAATTTCTTTCTACTTAATTATTAGTTCACAAGAACTAGTGAACTAGTTAGTACTATCTACCTAACCTCTGATGTTATTTTACAATTCACATCATCAAGTGTCTATTTGTTTCGTTTTTGTTTTGGGAGAGTTGGGGGGTAATTAGGTTTATTTATTTATTTATTTAAATGGAGGTACAGGGGATTGAACCCAGGACCTCGTGCATGCTAGGCATGTATGTACTCTACCACTGAGCTATACCCTCCCCCTCATCAAGTGTCATACTAACATGCCAAACTTTGTGTACTGAGGCCCAATATAAATAATTACATAATTATGAGCTGCTAGGATTTAATCCCACATCGTGAAACATACATAATTTGAAGAATTGACCAAAAAACCCAGATACAAACAAGTCATTCATATATACATGATTTATATTTGAGTCATGACAAAAATTGTTATCAACAAAAAATTCATTCAGTTCACATATACATTTTGATAATGTATCTCACAATTAAAATTTATACATCTTTTGGCTAAATGGAAGAATATTCTCTAAAAAATAATATTATTCACATACTCAATTGCTCTGTAGGCTAAATCATACTTATCAATCTCTTAGGATTCAAAAAATATATATTCAAATCTGACAAGATTTTCTAATGCAGTCAATTGGAAAGCAATAAGCAATCATTATTAAAAATATACTGAACTGGGTTTCAATTACTCATCATCCCATTGGTCATGGAAGACAGGTGAATGGGTAAAGAGGGAGATACATAAGGGTTATTACTTATGGGTAGTTTTAATGATGGACAAACTAGAGTTTAGCTTGCTGGCTTCAGACCAAAAGATTAAGTGGGACATCAACATTTCCCGTATCAATAGGGAAAACAGATTCTACTCTCGAACCTCACTCTGAACTGTGGTCTCAAAGTATCAAGCAAATGCAAGTATTAAGATTTCTCAGTGTTTCAGAATAATTATTCCTGCTGTCTTTATTTGTATATTTCTTTACTAAGCCTAAAAATCCAAATTATTGATGAAATTTGTGTTTGTAGCTCTAGTAATCCCAATCTTCACGCTAGTAAATATGTTACAAGCAATGTTTAAGGAGTGAACTTATCTCAGGCTTAGTGTTCAAGAAATATGTATGAGAAAAATGAGTGTTATTTATAATAGCTTTTAAAAAGATGCCTATAGGTATAGGAAGCAATCTAAAATGATTCCATGAAAAAGTACAAGTTGTCAAGACTTCAGGACTGCTTGATGATCAGTGGAGACATACAGTAACTGAGGTCCAAGAAAACCAAGAAAGATGAGAGTGACAGAATGAATGAATGCTATGAATTAGGTATGCAACTGTGTCAGATTCACTTGGTATCATTACTACCAGTGATGCCTAGAGAAACATTCCTCAAAATCCCCTTCCCTAGAGCTTCAGATTATAGTCTGCCAGTGAGAAGAACCTAAGATTTGAAAGGTAGAAATGAAGGAGAGGCTATTATTTTTGGAAGGTCTCACTGGTCAGATATGGTAAGTATTAAGACCTCTTCACTGCAAAGCACCCATGGCTTTCTCCCCCTACTTCAGTGTTTCAGGCTGTTTCTCTGATCTTCCCATCACAGATCCTCATTTTAATTTCTTCCACATTGTGTAAACCCAAATGGGTCTATTAAATTTCTTACTGTCACAGTACATAACATGGTTCTGTTTTCCTGACCAAACCCAAACCGACAGAGCAACTTCACACTACTCAATGAATCGCTGTATAAATGATGATGATCACAATCTCTAAGTCCCATCTAGCCTAGAAATCTCTGAGTCTATAATCCTTATAGTGCAAAATAAATAATTAGCAAGTTAATGGCAGATGTGAAATAAAATATATTTCATGTTTATGAAATATAATTTATGATGTGAAATTTTAAAAGCAGAATATATTCTCAAATAATAACTTCATTTTTATACAGCAAAGGCTTTTAGACATAAGGATTTAAAAAATAAAATAAAACTAGAGGAATGTTGACCCATTTCCATAGCTATGGAAGACAGTTATGGTATGGGCACGCATTTAAAGTGGGGGTGGGGATATGGGAGGACACAGAAAATTGATCTTTGTTGCCTCCATCTTGTGAAACTGTACCAAGAATTGGGCTGACCCATCCTACTGTCCAGAGGCCTAGGATGAATAAGAACCATCTACATTTTTCCAGAGAAGAAGAAGCATAAATGTTATATCTAAAGGCCTTTGTTCTACCTACGTTAGTTAGATTAGTTGACCTGATGGTGCTCAACTAAAGAAACTAAGAACTTGAAAGCTGATAAAGCACAATAGAGCATGATCTGATAAAGACTTCTGTGTAACTCAGATTCATTTAAATTACGTCTGTCTTAAAGGATTAGGAAAAGAGGCCACTATTTTGGCAGAGATACCCACTAGTCTTTTAGGAAAGAGTAGAGCTGAGGTAGCCAGAGCCTGAAGGTGGTGTTAGTTTGGCCAAAACAGTGGTTTTAAATTTCTGAATCTGAGTGCCATTAGGTGGAGTCTGCAGTCTCCAGTTTTTATAATCCTTAACACCTTTCCTCTTCATAAATGTATGTTATACATTATTTATCTGACCCTCAAGTATATGAGTTATAGATAGGACTCAAGATTTATTGGGGCTAAAAATAAAAATGGGTTGGGATGACCTTGAAATTATACATATACAAATATAGTTACTACAATTGATACTAGAAAAAATATGTTTCACATGTAAGTACTTGAAACAAAAGGGTACTAGAAAATTTCCATTGAAGTACTAGTCTTAAAAAAATAAGTATTAAATATAACACCAAAAAGATAGGCATATAAAAAAATAAATCATTGTTATTTCTGGATGATGAATTTATGGATGATTATTTTCTTCTTTGTTCTTCAGTGAATGTTTCAAATTCCCATTACTGAAAAAATAGTATTGGTATAATGAGAAATTTTATTTAAAAACACACAGTTGGTGAATTTAAAAACTGGCAGCTAGAAAAAGAAATAATCTCAGCTTTTTGTCCACATGTAGGTTCTACAATATAAGTGACATTAAAATTCAAAGAGTATTAAGATGAAGACCGTAATATAAACTAATAAGACCACTCTAGACATAGGAGAAACTGGAAGTGAACTAAAGAATGATCTGCATACAGTAAGACACTAAACATTTGGAAGAATGAAAAAGTGGAAGAAGTAGAAGGAAAACAAAGAAATGAGAATAAAGTTGGGAAAGGCTTCTAGGAGAAAAATTTGTTTTCCTTTGAGAAGAACTAGAGAAGTGAGCATAAAATACATTGAGTCTTAGCCACTGACTGTTGGTACATTTTTCTCAGAGGCTGTAAAATCTGCTCTTCTTAAGTTTTAAAATCGGTCAATTTTCATCTATCTAGGACACACTCGCAGTCTTGCACAAAGTAAAGATTTGACTAAACAATCTCTCTTACAAAGACCACAAATCAAATCTTAGAAATATGCAAAAAGTCCTGTAAAATATTAGTATTAGTTAAAATGGTAGAAGAAAATACCATAAACGTGGAATCTAAAAGCAGTATAGAACTAAACAACTTAAAAGCCTAAAATCTCTAAATACTATTCCCCACTCAAAGAAAACAGGGCTCCTTCGAGAAATGGCCGGTTCCAGGGCTGGGACAGGGGAAGTGTAACGGTGAGCCTGGAACATCTTGTTGTGCCAGAAAGTAACAAAGTGCTCAAAAAATAATAAGGGCATGTCAAAAGGACACAGGACCTAGTTTGAAAGGGCTTCCCCAGCCAAATCTGAGATAATGAGGGCATCAAAATGAATAATGGCAGTAATGGATTGTGACACCTTGAATAAAATAAGAGCCTATTGAGTCCACACTGTAGTTTAATGGTCAGCCAAAGATCTGGGCAGAATTCATACTCAGATTTTGCGGCTCATCTTCTCTGTGGTTCGCATACTGCTGGGATTTTCCCATAAATTTCCACCTGCTCTGTCAGCTCCAAGCATTGGTATCTAATAATTCAAGCCAATAAAACTGCAATTTTCTGCCACCATAGCTAAGCATAAGTCACAGAAGGCACTTAATAAAAAATACCAAAAACTCATAAATTTTAGCCATGTATTTGTCTTTCAAGTATAGGCCCCTCTCATGTTTCTGCCTACTTTTCTCTTTTTTTTTTTTTTTTGCCAGACTCCTAGACCTCTGCCACCCCAAACTGGTAAGACTCGGGTTTTCTGCCACATGAGGCTCAAGAACTGAGGAATTCCATCAGGCAAAGAGAACCACAAACTTTGCAAGTCTTACCCATTGTAGTTATGATCTTTTAAGGTTAAACTCTAGCTTCTGACTGCCTTTGATCACTTTCCATTCCCTTCAAATTATTTATTATCCAGATTTTTAACTTATACTCTGGGAAAGTTCATTCTTCATTCTGCCACTATATATTGGGAATAATTGAAATAATTTTACATGCTTGAAATATTTTATAATAAAACATACTAAAACACACACATATACCCACATACACACTCTGTTTTTTGAATGTATAGGGGTGATGCTCATAACCCTGATTGTGGTGATGGTTTCACAGGTACATACTATGTACTGAAACTCATAAAATGGAAGACTGAATTGGTATAGTTTCTTATGTCAATTATATCACAATAATGCTTCAAAGAAATGGGGGAACTAAAAATCTAATTGATTGAAACAGTTTTAGATAAACATAAGCAGTTCTACTCCACAAAGCTATGACTATGGGTTGGTATTTATAACTTAGGAGATACACTTTAAAATTAAGAACTAACGAG